GCTTTTCATTAATAGTGTTCAAAAGCTGCAATGTTCAAACTACATGATTTACAGTGTTTGCTTTTTAAATATCCATAGTACAATTAAAAGTAAAGTTATATACTTTTTTGTCTATTTTAGCTAAAATGCCGACTTATGTGAACTTGCATTGAATTAGCTACAGTTTGTTCTTTTAAACGGTGTATCTACAATTTTTGACCCGATAATAAGCGCTCATGCAAATCAAAACAATATTTCAAACGGAAGTACGTCATAACATGGAGATATCCCATTCTACCTTAAATGATATATAATTTATATACCTGACTCAAAGGTATGTAATGGAAAAATAACGCTCAATACTGCACCTCTTGTAGCAGAACGTCGAGATTTTACGAAGAATTTTGACGCGACGTCATACGTTTAACGTGTATAGTAAGCGTAATCTGCTAAACTTACTCGCTAGGACACAGTTTATTTTAAATATAAACTTAAGAAATTAAGTTGTTGATTTATAAATACGTCATTGTTGTTTCTTTTTTCCTTTTTTTAAATTTATTTATTTATTAGCATTATTAAATACTTACAGTGTAATCATCCACGAAGGTGTCTCCGCTTTAGTTGATGAGAATTATTAAAAGTCTAACAGAGGTACGTGGAGAAAAAGAAATAAACTGTATTTTCTTTTTGATAATTGCTTTCATTTTATTGGAGAGATTATACGCTCTGAATAATTTTTTTAGCCTTTTCATTAAAATAAATTGACAAAAATTTCTATTTCAGATCTAGTGAAAAAAAAAAATGCACTGATAAAAAAAAATCGATGTTTCCCCGGCACCAAAAACGTTCAATTCTCAAGAATATGGAATATGTAAGGTGCAAGAACAGAAAACTCAAATGTCAAGATAATATTAATTATATTGTATATAATATTTGGAACAGTACTAGTAGTATAGAAGACTATGGTTATATTTAATATTCAGTAGTACCCCCCCTCTAATGGTCAATTTTGCTAATAAACTTATCAAGACATTAAATTATATAAATAGGAATGCGAGGGATTTCGATCCCGATTTAAAAAAAAAATATAAGCACAGTAACTTTTTTAAAATCACATGATATGTACATGAAAACCGATTGTTTTCTGTGATATATTCATTTATATCCTGCTTGATGACAGAGGAATACTTAAAATTTAAATGTAACACCCCCCCCCCCCCCCATTCGAGTTTAATGAGTTCTTATCATTTATATACGCCTTTCACAAATATTTTTTGTTTAAATAACACATGAAAAATCATATTTGATAAGACTGAAAATGAGTTATCAGTAAATGTATTGATTCAAAAGTTTTGTTGTTGTTGGGGTGGGGGGGGGGGGGGTGTTATAAATCGGACTTTCAGTTCAGACTGAATAACATAATAGAGATTCTTTCAATTCGCTTAAAAAGTTTTAAAAACCTGTTCAGAAATTATTATTGGTTAGTATTCAGCCGATTACTCTTCTCGTTTCACACTTGAAAGGCTTTCTACATTTTTATTTAAGTCCGTGTAAATACTTACAGAGTCATTTGTTTATACATGTATGTTTACATATTCAATACATGTTGATAATAATGTCGGATAAGTATAATCGCTCATGGATTATTTCGCAGAATCCTCACCTTCTAGCAGCCAATGACAAATATTCATTCCAAATTTTAAATGTTTTTATGTCAAGTTTTTGCCTATTAATATTAGGATCAAAATACGTTTGAGTTGCTAGTATCACTTTCCCTTTTTTTTTTTTCATTTCTCGCAAAATTTCTTTGCTTATTAGAGAATGTAGCTGTTTAAAAATAAAAAAAATCATCAAAACTTCCTTGTGTCTTTACTTTTCTGACAATTGAACACGATATACGTATGATTCTTGCAATAAACAAAAATAATCTAATGGGCTATTTACAATACAATACAGACAGGTATTTCCTATATGTAAAGGATACCGGTATACAAAACAGGTAAAATATATTGGTCCATAAAAAGTAATTATAGTTGTTTTCCACAGGAATTAATGTTACAGTTAGTTAAGTAAACAAAAACAAAACAAAAAACACCAACAACCTGCAATCCCCTATACCCGGGAAACACGGGTCTTTCATGAGTTGGCCCATGACAACCCCTCCCCCATAGATAGATATTTCCATTTCTGAGAGCGTTGCAGTGAAGTAGCATCATTTTTGAGCGGGGGGGGGGGGCTGCCTAAGAGAAAAAATAACTTACCGGAAAAAAGTTTACAAGCAAAAAACCAAAAAAGGGGGGAAAATTGCCCAAACTCGAAAGTTATATTTCGGGAGGGGGGGGGTGTAGAATCTGATTGGTTTAGACGCAGTTAACAATCCGTTCGATTACCCTGAGCCTTAGCAACACACGCGACAACGGGTAACACAGCGGTAATGCCACATGCGTGGAAATTATGCGCGTACGGTTCACCGTAGAATTCTCAAAACGTCAGTTGCGCGTTTGAAAGAACCGGAATTAACTTGACGTCAATAAAAGCTTGCGTCCGATATAGCTTACTTGAAACAACAACGGACAGTTGATACATGCTTGCGAGTGTAGGAAACATACTTGCGTGCCAGAAAAAACGAAACTTTATATGATAAATGACTCTAATTCGAATATCAAACAAACAATAAGGAGATTAGTGAACCGGTGAGTGTGAAAGCTTTCTATACATGAACGTAAAGACGATTTTTTTGCTGATATCCTTAATCAATAAGACATTCAGTGTAATAAAATAAATGGTGCCTGTTTTGGAGGGTAACATTTGAAATTGACACCCCTCGGAAAACCATTGTCAACCTCCGCTGACGCGTCGGTTGACAATGGTTTTCCTTGGGGTGTCAATTTCAAATACTACCCTCCAAAACAGGCACCATTTATATATTATCGAGTCTACTATGTGTTTGAACAAAAAGCACTCAAACAAAAAGTAAAATTTAGTTTCAAACATATTAGACGAAATGCGACCTAGAGTTTAAGACTTTAAGACGCCTTCTAAGGTAAGACTGTTTACACCTTCTGCACTTTTGAAAGGAGAAAAAATTGGACAATTTACAAACTTGTGGAAAGATGCCAATAAAAAGACAGACGAACGAAGGGAATTTTATATTACCAAACCTGGTTTTTAAGACGGGGAGGTGAAGGAAATATATAGGAAGTGGAAGCCAGTTAGTCTTCCCCCCCCCCCACCTTAATAATGCTACTCTGATTTATGTTTAATTTACACTAATAAAACTCATTATAAATTACCTACATGTTTCCATAGCCTACAGGCTATTTTTATGATATATAATTCCAAGTACTTTGTGGATAAAATTTACATTGCTTGTTAAAGTCACCTGAAGGTTCTCCTTCAGGTACCTTATATACAGTGAATTTAAATAAAATCCAGTGTTTGGTAGTCAGTGATCCAAGAGAAGATTGCAAATAATGTACAAGTCAATCTTTTGTTGTGTCCAAAGACATTTAATATTTGTCATTTTAAAAAATTTTGAATGGTGTATTCATTTTTGAATGGTGCATGAATGCAAGCACTGGTTGAATAAAATTGAGAGATACAAAAAATAAAAAAAATTGGTTATTTAGACACTAAACTTTTTTTTCATTTTAAAATATTTGTAGTGCTGAATAAATGCAAGCAATCATATGGTTGGATTAATTTGAAAGAAACTTTGAATTTGAAAGCAAAACTTTCGGTGATATAGAAAGCTTGGTATCATTCATGTATTCAGTCAGCGGACAAGTAATCCTAATAACGGTAACAACAAAGTGATAGAGAAATGGAAATAATAAAACAGTCATATAGAAGATTCCATGCAGGTTTCAGAGTCTTACGGATTTTTCTGACTTCATTTGTAAGTTATTGACAACAGTTACTTTAAATACGTACCTTGTAAAGATTGCTGTTTTGTATGACAATACCATGAATTTTCAATTCGTAAATATTTTTGTAATAAGAAAACCCAAAGACTGTCTATGCATGCTTTGATTGATTGATTGATTGTATGTTGTTTAAAGACTCTCACGAGAATTTTCACCCATAATAAGACACAACCTCTTGCCGGTGGAGAGCTGCAAATTAAGTCCTATGCTCGACACTGAGAGCTATTGATCAGTGAGGGATCTTTTTCGTGTCAGATCTAAATGAGACACGGGACCTTGATTTATACGTCTCATTTGACGGACCGGTCTCCACGTCCCATAGCTGGATTCTAACCTGCGACATAAGGATTAACTTCTAACTTTGCGAATCTAGAGCAGACACTCTAACCAATGCGCCACGTGAGCAATTGAAAATGTGCTTTAAATCATTTAAAAGTATCAGGGTATGTGAATACATAAGAAAATATAAAGGTTTTTATATGTTGATAAGACAATAACAAATAAGAATAAATACAATCTTAATGTCAAATCTGACTTGTATATTTAGTCATAGTCTGTTCATGTCCCTGTGGCCGCTTTAAGGAGTTTATGGATTGGTCATATATCGATGAATGGAGTTACATTGAATAGTCAAATTGGAATATGCTGTGTTTAAATTGCTTTTCTCTTACAGGTGTTTCCGATTTAGATAATGTCTGGTGAAAGTAAACTACATTAAGACACATAACATTGTTTATTCTTTTCATGTAACAAATTACTTGTGTATTCTATAATACATGTACCTGTATTCAATAATAGAGATTTTCTCAACAAACTAGGTTTAGCTATGGAATATAGCTTTTGATAGAGCCTACATACACTGTTATTATGAATTAATATTAAAGCTTTTCTCTTGCTGTGATCGTGATAAACACAATATATTTAATTTTTATCAAGAGACTTGTAGTTTTTTTAATCTTGAATCTAATTTGAAACTCTAACAGGAACAAAATTTTGTTATTTTTTATGTTTATATCTAGATTGCAATGCCACAACAATAAAAGAGAAAATAGAACCTAAAAAAACCCAAGAACTACATTTTTGTTTTTGTAAATCATGGATACAAATGTTCCACAGTGTTCTCAATGTATGGGGAAAGTAGAATTCTACTGCAGAACGTGTAATCAGGACCTATGTGATTCTTGTAAGGAGAAACATGTAATAGACCTCGACACAAAATATCACGATGTAGGGATTGATGGCTTAAGATATGATGACTTCATCATGCATGAGCTAGAAAATTGTGAAAATCACCAAGCCCGACAACTAAACAAATGTTGCTTGTCATGTGAACGTCTTATCTGTGCCGAGTGTGATGGACACCAAGATCATGAAATACTAGATATAGGGTCAGTCAAAATAATGGTCAGACGTCTATACATAGAAAGAATAGTTCAAATCAGAACTGAAAGTCTCCAAATTAATAAAGTGATCCTTGCCAATATTAAATCTGATCTCAAAATAGTGATGGAGTCAAAATTAGCTGATCTCGAGCTCCAAAAGAAAAGAATTGAAGAAAAAACTTGTCAACTGAAGGATCTGACTGATTAAGCAATAAAAAATATCAATGGATTAAAATGGTTACTTAAATCTAGATTAAAAGAAGCGGAAAGAAATATTGCAAACATTCAATTGTTTATATACAGTTATGAACAGCTGTTAATCAGGAAGGAGAAGAAGGTACAATTTCTTTTACATGTAAAGAAAAACCCTTACCCAAATGTAAAGGGCTTTCCTGCTACCTCCAATTTCTTCCTGAGTAAAAGGAGTGAAATCAACAAAGAAGATATAACAAAGTTACTGTTGGAAATAACTATTGACACAAAAGAGAGACAAGTAGGTAACGAACAGCTTCTGGTACGGATGCCTTCACCTGTGTTAAAGAAATCTTTTCCAGTGGGGGAAAGTGTTTATCATATGTCCTTTGCAACAACAGACATGATTTGGATCAGTGATCAGTATGGATTTACCATCCTGACAGACACAACTGGTGACCCTTTATGCGTTCTTTTAAATAACATGGGTACGGCTAATTATACTGGAGGACATTGCGTTACTCGTGAGGGGAATCTAATCTATATAGACAAGCATCATTACATCAGAGAATTGTACACAGAAAAAAATGGAAAAATTTGAATGCGAACTAGTTAATGTAACAGAACCATGGGTTGCAAAATGTGTCTACAGCTCCCACTCCAACGGAGATTTACTAGTTGGGGTACTACGATACGACAGGGATAAAAATAAACCAACAAAGGCCAAGGTGGTGCGGTATATCAGAACAGGAAAGAAATACAAATACAAACAGGTCATTGGTGACGAGAACAAGGATAAGAGACTGTATGGACACCCTTTATACATCACCGAAAACCATAACGGAGATATTATTGTGTCTGATCAATACCATGCTGTAGTGGTTACAAATCGAAAAGGTAAACATCGCTTCTCATACACAGGACCTCCCAAATATAAAACAGATGAGTTCTCCTTCAAGGGACCTCTGCCAAGATCACGACTTTTGCCCTTAGGACTGTGTGTAGACGCACTGTCAAATATCCTTGTGTCTGATGCTAACAGCAAAACAATTCAAATTATAGATAAAGATGGTCTCTTCATATCACATTTTTTTACTGAACAAAGATGGAAAAACGCTCCAAGGGCTCTTTGTTACAACAACAAAAATCACCTTCTCTTGGTTGGAACAAGCGATCATAACGATGAAATATGCATATACAGATACATACAGAGAAAGGAGGTTGACTAAAATTATTAGCTCACAAGTGACATCGATGTAGAAGTAAATTGTGTACAGATATATTTTGATTTATTCAAAGATTATTGTCACTTATTAGGTGGGTAATATATAGATGATGGAGCACAAATTATGTGTATCAAAAATATATGCCATTTTAGCGACATTCTATATTATTATATCGGTTAATTTCAAGTAACCTTCAGCTCCTTAATTTTTCAAAGTGTCCGGTTACTCGTATGATTAAATTCAAACTATATATATCCTGTTTCAAAAGGCATTCTAATGTGACTGAGCTGCACGAATAGAATGGATGAGGAGCAGCATGCAAGAATGAAAAAGCAAGAATGTCAAATTAAAGAAATTTCTTTAGAGCAGCAGATCCATGCTGTCTTTAACTACATTTGTATGTATTAAATGATGTCGTTTAATCTGTTTAAGGTCTTAAACAGTTGATGAGCACAGATTTAAAAATGTAAATATCAGTATTTAAAAAGTTATGTAAGATAGTTGTAGAAGTAAAACAAAGCTCGGCCGTGACAGATCAGATTCTTGATGCTGTTAAAAATTAGTAGAATGTGATCCTTACAACAAGAAGCTAAGACCTTGCAAAGGAATTTGAATATCCCCCCTTGATCACAAGGCAAAATAAAGAATTGAAAAGATTATAGTTATTGACTTAAAAGTGGCAGAAAACAGGAACACGTAATGTAGACTGCAATGTAGTTCTTCACAAATTTCCGGTTAATTAATTGAAAATCCGTGACAACAATTCTTTTGAAATCGTGTTTCGCATGTAGAAAACCGATGGATAGAGTTTTAATCCTAAGAACAATGTCTTTTTTTTCAAAAGAAGGATTTTTTTTGGACTGGACAACTCTCACCTCAGAAGAACGTATGCGTCAGTAAACAATTTCCCCGGAATTCTTTGGGAGCTTAAAAACGATATTATGTCATGCTGGTCCAGCAAAACTAAAGTTTTTTTTATGAATTCGTGGTGAAAATTTATATATCGATGGGAGATCGATTCGTAGCTCCCAAGAAAACACATGAAAAACATTCGGGGTAGATGGAGGAACGAAACATGCACAGACTACAGTAGAAGATGACGCGGATATGATCGACGACGATAAGCTATCAAAAGTCTTCAAACACAGTCAAAAAAATTAAGAAATGGCAAGAAATCAGCGCGTGACTATATTAAATTAGTATGTGAAATTAGCAATAGACTCAGACACAAGGATTTGTTTCTCGAACATTAACTTTATTATTCTACGTTTAGGGTTTTGTTCAGGGCGGTCCACCCAGTATGATTTCCATTCTGATTAAAAGATGCTCTTGTGACGCAAATAATTTCAAGATAAGTACATACGTTTCTATATAAATTAAGTAGCTTTATGCTTATAAAGAAGAGCAACAAAATAGCACAAGGGCATACAATATTTTGTTGTTCATCAGAATCAGCAATTGACAATGGATATTTGAAGGATGCATAATATTACAGCTCCAAATTGGACACTGCCATCGTTTAGTTACTTTTCGTAGTGTTTTAACATGAACAAGTAAAATTCATTGTTGGATTAACGTTTTTCTAATTTTCATCAATTGCGAAAAGGTATAGTAGTTGTGCAGAATGTTTGTTTTTTTTTATCTTATGATATTCTGAAAATTATAATTTTTTTATTTATTTAAAATTAATAGCGTATACCTACTGCCGACGTTGTTTTGTTCGCGTTTTTTTCATTAACTTGAATGGAAAAGAACAAATACGTCATTATATGTCGTCATAATAAGAGTTTGCTTCAATATGTTGTATGTAATTAGTATGTTATAATTATACTGTTTTAATTTTAATATCTTTTTAACGTCCGCTATAACAAATGATATACATATACTGATTTCCATTAATTCATTTGCAACGAAACACCTATATCTAAATGTACCTTCAAGACATTTATTTAAGGAATGGAGCTTAATTATTTTAACTTTTGTTATACGATATAACATAACTTGAGGCAGTTTACGCTTTTTTTGAACCGCTTCGCGGTTTATAAAGCGTAAACTGCACAAAGTTATGTTATATCGTATAACAAAAGTTATACTATATCATTTAACATGAGTTGAAATAAGCTTCATTCCTTCTAATTTTATTTCAATGTAGACAATGAGACAATGCTTACATTTTTTCCTTTGGGAAAAGGCCTCAAATATCGCATATTTTAAAAGTTAACGTCAAGCGAAGTAATAGATTTTTGACGTAATTCATTGTGACGTAGGCAAGTTATGTTATACAAAATGGATAAAACCGTTTAACCAATCAGATGACCTAACAACTGAAATTAAATATTTGAGTATAAACTAGTATTATTTCACTGTATATGAACAACTAGAAGGATATGAAGATAATGAACTGTATTCATATCCATAAAGTCCATACAACAAATTTAAAACATTGTTAATAAACGTAGATAAAACACTTTTACAACTGATAAGTAAACTTTACATTAGGGCAGAACTTATGAACAGAAAAGCATTCACACTTCACACGTGTATCAATTGTGAGAAGACCTTTCAAAATGGGCATTATTATATTAACCTTGATTTAAGACATTGACCACTTTAAAAAAAACCTTAAACCTTTGTTTTATTTTACAGTTTGATTTCTTACAACAAGACCTTACTTGGATAAAAAACAATTTTAACCTTTTGACTTTGACCTCGAACATGGCTTCAATTTGCAAAACTTTCTAACTCCCACAATGGGGGTTTAATGTTACCTTTAAGCTGAACATTACTCGTAAATTGGCATAGTTCGCCATATTTCCCTTTCATCGACGCTATCCCTTACAACCCCTGTATAAGGAACAAATTTCGATGAAATTGTAAAATTTTTAATTTTCCTAAACAGGAGAACAGCATCATCAAAAATAGTCAAATCAATACATAATTGACAAGCAGAAAATGCACATAAAAACAAAGAATAAACGCATAAATCTAAGACCACGAAAGGAATATCACATGTCGGCCACGAGTTTCAAGTGCACATGCAATCGGGTTTAACGAAATC